CGAGTAGATGTGTAGCCTATTTTCCAGATCTTGTGTCGTCTTGCTTTGTATTACGGGCTTAAGCTTAATCCAGGATAGCATAAATGGTGCTAGCTAGCTCACTGTCGTTTCTTATTGTTGTCATTCATTCTTCTTTTGAAAAAACAGCAGGTCCTTATCTTTCTTCAATTCAATGTGAATGTGGAGGCACAGCCAATCAAGGTATCTGGCTGCCACCTTGGCCACAGGCATGGGCTCACGCGGAGGCTGATTATTCACAAGTGCCCTTACTTTTGGCACAGTGACCTTTGTAAGGTATCTATTCATGGTTCAATAGTCTTCCCTGAGTTTTCTCTTGGGGATATGAAGGGAGAGAGAAAATGAGAAATGGGGATTGTGTGTGGAGGTGGGGTGCATGAATAGGGGGTGGGGAGAGAGAGAGGAATAGATTCTTAATTGGGCTTGTCAATCTGGTGTAATGTGAAATTGAAATTATAGGTGGCTTTGTCTTTACCACATGGAGATGGCTTTTCCACAGCTGTAGAGCTGTACAGAATAAGGTGAATCCTTAGGAACAAAGGAAAGTGAGACTTGTTAATACCATTGAATACTCTGGATCCAGCTGTGACTAAAACCAGATCTACTCATGGACGTCTTGATTCCATGAGTCAATGAATTACCTTTCATTTTTGCTAAGTTGTAAGTTAGATTTCTCTCATTTGCAACAGGAAGAGTCTTTACTAATACAAATAATTAGTTGTATATTTTACTCTCTTTGCTGGAAAGTTCCCATTGAAAGTCATGTATATATCAAGTAGATTATTTTCTCTATTTAGTCAAGTAGCAAAATCTTATTCTGTTTTATTGTCACCTGGGTCTAGTGAAACAAACAGCAGGATCTGAATCTGTAATGTTCAAGGAAAACCACAGTCACACAATTAGAGATGCAAATATTTGTCTTATAACTATCTGAATAAGCTTTTATTGTTCTGGGATGTGGCATAAACAAGTATTACTAAGCACCACGAATATAATGTGCTGTGGCTGGCTAGGAAGACAGTCTCTTCCCTCAAGGAGTTTATAATCTAGCTGTGGAGATAAGGTATGCACATACATACAAAAATAGAACAGTACAACTGTCCAATCAATAGTTCATGCTGGACTTAGGAAGATGTTTAGCATTCTAAAAGAAAAAGGAAGGGAGGTGTGGAAGAGGGGTGAGGAACTCCAATGGTGACACGGCAAAAACAAAAGTGGAGAGTTGGAAAAACAAAATGCATGGAGACCAGTGATTCATCCATTTGGCTTGGTACAGGATTCCTGCAGGGGATCTCCTGCAGAGATCCTAAGACTGAACAGTTAGACTGTGGTCAGATTTTTAAAGCTTGGAATGTCAGGCTGAGGAGTTAGGGTTTTAACTTTCAGGGAAGGAGAGTAGCTACAGGGATTTGGGTGCAGTGGGAACTGCAGCGTGATCAAGGTCCCACCTTACCTGTTTCAGGACACCAGTCTATAGTGATCTGCCTAGGAACTCTTGGGCAGGAGCTAAAGGACGTTATCACACCAGGAGCTGATGAGACACCTGAAGCATGAAGTTATGAGGGCTCAAATGTGGGTAGTGGCACAGAGACGGGCAGGAAAAAGACATATGAGAGAGGAAGGCAAATTTGGAAGAATGGGCAGAATCCAGAGCTAGGCTGGGTCAGGGAGAAAGGCAATGGATTTTGAACTGGGATAAGATGTGGAATTTTGGGGGCAGAAATAAGAATTTTACTTTCTGGACACTGTTGCAATTTTACATTTATTTATGTTGTCATTTGATTAATGTTTTTCTCCATTATAGACTATATGCTTTTAAAATTTAAAGACCACTTTACTAATTGCTGTGGTTTTATATCCAACATGTAGCACAGTGCCTGATCCATAATAGTGGCTTAGTAAATACTTGCTGAATGAATAAGTGTTTAGTATGATTGTAAACTGAAATAAACTGTACACATTAAATTAATAATATATTTATTTGATTTGAAGGTAATATAGTAGTTTAAAGCATATTAGAATATTAAAGCAACTCCCTAAAATGTTATGTAACCAATATTTTTTCCAACTTTATTGAAGTATGATTAATAAATAAAAATTGAATTTGTTTAGGGAGTACATTGTGATGTTTTGATATATGTATACATTGAGAAATGTACAATAATCAATCCATGTAACATATCCCTTACCTCACATTGTTATAAATTTTTTTTGTGTGTGTGGTGAGACCATTTAAATCTGCTCTCTAAGCAAATTTCAAGTATACAATACATTATTAACTATAGTCACTATACTGTCGAGTATGTCCCAATAATTACTTATCTTGTAGCTAAAGGTTTGTGCCCTTTGACCAATATCTCCCTCCCCTGCTCCCAAACTTCCTGGTAACCACTGTTTTACTTTCTGTTACTATGAGTTTGACTTTTTAAAAAAGATTCTGCATAGAAGTGAGAATGTGCAGTATTTGTCTTTCTGTGTCTGGCTTATTTTACTCAGCATAATGTCCTCAAGGTTCATTGCTATAAGTGCAAATGACAAGATTTCCTTTTCTTTTTAGACTGAATGATATTCCATTATGTATAGATGCCATATTTTCCTTATCCATTCACATGTTGACAGACACTTAAGCTATTTCCATATCTTGGCTGTTGTGAGTAATGCTGCAATGAATACAGGAGTACAGATAGCTCTTTGAAGTACTGATTTCATTTCCTTTGGATATACACTCAAAAGTGGGATTGCTAGGTTATATGGTAATTCTATTACTAATTTTTTAAGGAAATTTCAAACTGTTTTCCATGATCGTTGTACCAACATATACCCCTGCAAGCACTGTACAAGTCTTCTCCTTTCTCCATATCCTTGCCAACACTTGCTATATTTTCTCTTTTTGACAGTAGTCACCCTAACAAGTATAAGATAATATCTCATTGTGGTTTTGATTTGTATTTCTCTAATGCTTAGTAATGCTGGGCATCTTTCCATACCTGTTGGCCACTTGTGTGTTTTCTTTGGAGAAATGTTGATTCAGGTACTTTGCCTGAATCCTAATTCATATTCTAATTGGGTTATTTGTTTTTTGCTATTGAGTTATATGAGTTCCTTATATATTTTGGATGTTAAAGTCTTACCAGATGTGTGGTTTGCAAATATTTTCTCCTATTCTGTAGCTTATCTTTTCTTTCTGTTGATTGTTTGCTGTGTGGTAGCTTTTTAATCTGATGCAGTCCCACTTGTTTATTTTTGCTTTTGCTGCCTGTGCTTTTGCTGTCAAATCCAAATACTTATTGCTGAGATCAATGTCAAGGAGCTTTACCTCTACCTTTTCTTCTAAGAATTTCATGGTTTCATGTTCTACATTTAAGTCTTTAATTCATTTTGAGTTGATTTTTGTGTGTGGTATATGAATGATGAATGATGGGTCCAATATCATTCTTTTGAATGTGAATATCCAGTTTCCTCACTACTATTTATTGGCGAGTCTATCCTTTTTCCATGGTATATTTTCATTTGTAACCATAGAAGAAAAAAAATGCTTTCAGGTAAACATTTTCTGAACTGCTGAATGTTAAAAAAACAGAAAAGTCAGCCATCAAAAGTGTTTATGAAGTCAACCACAAGATTATCGTCTGCTTCCTAGTTCAGTGAACTCCACATCAAGGAATTCTTGATCAGTAGGATTATGATGAAAATTTCAATTTTACTACAGAAAGAGGGAATTATCATTAATTTCTATTGAAACATCATAAAAATTTGGAGTCAGCTCTAAGTTCAAATGTCAGTTGTGTTCCCAACTAGCTGCCTGAATTCAGGCAAGTCACTTCATCCCTCTGAACTTCAGTTTTCTTATCTGTAAAATGAGGATGATAATTCCTACCTACCTCATGCTATTGTTGTAAAAATTAAATGAGATAATCTATGTAAAATCTTTATCATGGTGTCTGGCATATGACAAGTGCTTAGTAAATATTTTAAATTATTGTTTGTGCTATTACTGCTATAATTATTAACTCTACAATTTGAGCTTTTCAGAGAAGGGTTATGTCTTAGATATCTTATACCTAATGCTCAAGACAATGTAACCCCAACCCCTAGCTCAAGCAAATTTGCAAAATTGAACTAAGGTCCTACTTTTGAGGATGGTAGATGATAAAAAACGAGTGGTGGAAGGAAGAAGTTCAGTCTTTATAATTATTCAGCCATGTGCTTCAAATTCAGGTTAAAAAATTATAAAGATCAAAGAATTTTTCTAAATATCTCCTACACAAGGAGATGGATTTAACTATTTAAATTGAGTCATTGGAAAATATTTTCTAGGAAAATAAAGATGAGTTTGTGCAATCAAAAGGTGATCTTTACTATTGCTTTGTTAACAATTGATTTCTCATCTAAAACTGCTTTTGTATATGCAAACTCTGTGAAACCTTTTTATAATTCCTGAAATGAGAAAACTGGATTGGAATCATGTTACTTATGCATAACATGGAATGCATAATATTACTTGACTTATGGAATGACAAAATAATTAATTATGTTATAGTGAGATCTCTTCTGTGTGGATCACATTGGATGTGTTATATCAGAAGGTTAGTGGCATTGCTATTTCCATTGGGGAACTTTCATTTAAAAAACTAAGTATATTATCAAAATGACTTTTTTTAAAATTTTAGCATATTATGGGGGTACAATTGTTAAGGTTACATATATTGTCCATGCTCCCCTCCCCTCTCGAGTAAGAGCTTCAAGCATGTCTTTTAATATTGACATAAAATGTAAAATTTTTTCTTATAGGAATTAGAAGACATTTTTTGTATCAATTATTGTAATTTAGGCTGAATAATGCCAGTTATTTTGCTGCTCTGCTGAAGTCCCCTTTTTTGAGCCTACACTGAACCTGTAATACTTATGGAAAGAGTTACCATAGCAACCTCCATTGATGTCACAAGCTCAGGCTTCTGACTTCATTGCATAATGCAGTAGCAACTGGATTTGCAGCAGAAACACCCTGCTAAAGAACAAGTATCTTGGTTCACAGCAAAGAGGACAAAGAAAAACAGCAAGTTAGAGGGGGTTGAATCCTGGATTGTGAGTCAGATTGCCTGAGTTCTTATTTTAACCCTGCCTCTCACTTGTTGCCTTGTTTTGAGTAACTGTGTTTACATGTGTGCCCTGAGGTTTGGAGTAAGAAATCTCCTCTCTCTGGGATGGACACAGCAGAGAAAAACTCAGGATCTCTAGTGTTTTTCATTTGTGGACAGCTCAGTAAAGCTAAAGCACTCTAAAAATAACTTGGAAGGAAAGGAATTACTAGTGCCTTGTAGTAGGTATCTAGCTAGCTCACAAAGATAAAGAGGACACTTTGAAATTAAAAGGAATCTAGCTAGGTTTTTTATCTTTTGAAATAGTAATTAATAAGGGATAATGTTGATGTCCTAATCTTAATTTTAGTAAGAATATAGAGAACTTGTACATGAATATGTCACTATATCTATATAGCAGTAGCTACTTAAAGATATTTTTATAAATTAAGAGTGGAGAAGTAAAAGATTATATCTATTAATAGGCATTATACTTCTCATGTTTATACTGTGTACATTAAATAATACATGCTTTTAAATTTTATAATGCAAATGTTGGTCCTCATTAGAAAACAACTAAGTAAAATGGTCTTGCTATTTAAGATTAAATTTTAAAAATCCTAATGATATCTTTTCTGGAAAGGCCTAACCTTTCCATTGGATTCTACAACCTGTTTATTATTTCCATTGGCCTAGCTTTTTATTCTACAATACATTTCAGAATTGAGATGTGAATATTTTAGGATTTGAAAGGCACTTAAACTAATCAGCTTCCTCACCAGAACTAAGGTGAAAACATGATATGGCTTTTTATTTTCATGTTATCTATGGTAACAAGGGTGAATGTTTGGTGCAGAGAACCATGACCCTTCTCTAACCCTCCTATCCATATGCTTCAGTCACTCCAAATTATCAGCAAAAATGTAACATGCTATAAAACTTCATTAGCTCAATTCCGTGTTAAATACCTCTCATGAAGACATAATTTGCCAAGTCTTAGGAAATGTCTGTTACTATTAAAAATGTAGAGCGAGGTAGAAATTGTGGGCATGTTTTTGAATAAGCAATTAAATGTAATTGAGCTCCACATTATAATGCAGCACAAGCATTTGTATGAGTCACAAAATCTTGTAAAATCTTTCAAAAAACATAATTTAGCATGCAGTGTTTTATAGAATATATAAGAATGGAAATTGATTCTTTCATTGTAAGTATCATTCCTATAAAATTAGCTAATGTGGTATTTCTGTTACACTGGGAAAAAATTTCTTTGTATGCTTTTCTGAAGTTAACTGAACAGATTTTTATTGACTTTATTGACATGAAAAAGTTCTAAACACACATAGTAAAATCTTATAAAAGAGAAGATTGTCCCCCATTTTTTTTTCATCTTAAGCAAAGAGAACAGTAATATTGGTTACTTTCTGGACTCGGTCCTTGTCCTAAATTCTGCTATTTCCTAAATATAACCCCTCTGAATAGCGGAGACTAGGCATCTACTGCAAAATCATGAATATCAAGGAATCCTATAGAAGGAGCTTCAGTTTATTTATAAAACTGAAATTTGATTGATTAACTTTCCCAAAGTTAATTGGTAAAAGAATCCATACCTCAGCCAAGTACTTGTTCTACCACATTGGACTGTCTTAATCTTGCTTGATGGCTTCCATCTAGAATCACCTCCCTGCCTAAACTCAATAATTCTGCATTGTCCATCTCCGAAGATCTGTTCTTTTGGCAAAGTTTGTGACTACAAACTAAACTTGGCTCTTGATAGTTATTCAATTAAATTTACTCAATGTTTTGAAATGTCCATGTGTGCAGAGCCTGGTAGCATGCAAAGTTGTATATGAATATTTATGAAACTTTTGTAGGATGGCATTACATTGAAAAGTAAAACAACCAGAAAACAAAATCAGGTGCATGGTAATGCTATTAAATGCGTAAGACTTGAGGGAATTCCAGGAAATGGATTAATCAGAGGCAATGAGAATATGGATTTAGCCAAAGAACATTTCTTAGTGCTTAAACTAATATTTATCCTTCCGTCTCTCTCTCTCTCTCTCTCTCTCTCATTCCTCCTTTCACACTATCTTTTCTCATTACACAAGTAATAAGTAATCCATGTTTGTTGTTGAAACATTAGGTAAAATAGTTGACCAAAATTAAAAGGATAATCCCATGATCAAGAGATTATCTGTAGCATCTGCTGCATATCCTTTCTAAAAATTTTTCAAGCTTATACTCAGCTCAAATATTATTTTTTAAAAATGGAAGCATATTCTGCTTATTGCTTTGTGACATATTCTTATATAACAATAATGTGTGACTATCTTTCTGTGATTATAATTAGAGATTTATTTGCATTTAAGTTTCATGAAATTTCATTATATGGGTATACCATAATTTAATCATTTTGCTTTTAGATGTTAGTCAATTCCCAATTTCTCACTGACATAATACACATAAATTAAAACATATGTAAATATGTATATATATGTTTTAACCATTCTTATGTATACAACTTGAATACTTGTCCAACTATTTAATTGAAAAAAATCTCAAATTTATTGAAGTATGATTTATATACATTCAATTGTTTTCTGATTATAAAATCCTAGAAGCAGAGTAGTTGGGTCAAAGATGAATTGTTTTAAAGGTTTTAACACATGTTGATAAACTGATTCTTAAAAATATATCAGTTGATAGTGTCATAAGAATGAGAATTATTTCCCCACTCCCACACTACTTCTGGGTATTGGCATAATTCTTTATCATAGAAAACTGCTACAGAAAAAAATAGTACTTTAAAAACATTTGTGTTGTTTACTTGGGATCTTGTGATCTTGGACAGCTTCTCATATTTAAATTTAATCCAGTTAAAATTTGAATTTCTTTTTTTAATTGACTATATCCTTTGATTAGTTACTTATTGGTATTGGTCTGTTTCTTATTGATTTAAAAGTGTTGTTTTTATATTAAGGTCATAAGGCACTTGCCATGCTAATTAGTATTCTATTTGGCCATTTGTCTCTTAACTATGGTTTTTATTTGTTAGTTTCATATTATTTCATATTTTTATACACACAATATGTTAATCTTCCCTTTTATGCTTTCTGTTTTTGGTGTCATGCTTCCAAATGATCAGATAAATATTTGCCTATTTTTTCTTAGTATTGATTTTTTTTCATTAAATTATTTGTTTCTTCTGGAATTTATTTTGACTTAAAAAGTGAGATATAGTTAATCTTCATTTGAATTTTTTCTGAAGACTTTTATTTTTCCCTATCCCTCTTGTATCCTAAGTTTATATGTGATTTAAAAAATTTGGTTCCATGATTTAGTGTTAATATTACAGTTTTACTTATTTAATTATTTAAAGCAATTATTTTATTATTTAAAGCTTTTGGTGTCCTACATATAATAATTTTATGAAAGGAATTAGAAAATTGATGGCTTTCCAATGGGTATAGAAAAAGGGGGTATTGTACTGTACTACTGTACTGTTTTTCTTTACTTCCTGTTTTCATCCAAGATTCTAAATTTTATCTTTGTTATGTCTAGTTGAGATTAATTCATTTTTAACTGCTGTATAATATTTCTTTCATTGAATGTATAACATTTTGTTACGTTATCTTTTCTGGATGCATTTGGTGAGTTCAGTTTTATTCAATGCTTTTCATAAATCATAAACCAACATTTCATGGTTTTTATTCTTAAGCTGTTAATGGAGAGAATTACACTGATAGATTTTTCTAGTGGTGGACCACTTGCATTATTGGTATAAACTCAATATGCTCATGATAGTATCATTTTATAGACTATTGAATTCAACTTAGTAATATTTTATTTAGGATTTTTACATGTGTGGTCTCCAGGGGATTTTCCTTTTTTATACTATCCTAATTTTTGATATCAGGATCATACTTAAAGAATGAGTTCAGAGCATTCCCTCTTTTTCTTTTTTTCTGGAAAAGAAATTTTGTTTGTTGTGTGTTTCTTGATTTACAGTAGAATTTCCAGCAAAACTACATTGGCCTTTGTATTAGTGTTTTTGTTATTGTTTGTTTTGGAGAGGTGTGACTTCTAGAATTATGGTAGAATTGCCTGTAAATCTGTGTGAACTTTTGTTGTTCTTGTTCTTATTTTTGGAGGAAAGGAATAGAAGATTATTTAAATTACTGATTTGAATTCCTTGATGATTATATAGATCTATGCAAGTTTTCTATTTCTTCTTAACCAGTTTTGTTTGGTAAATTATATTTTTTGTAGGAATTTATTATATTTGTTTTCAAGTATTTATTAGTTTTATCTTTTGAACATCTGATATATAGTCCTTTTTTCTTAATATTTTATTTGTCTTCTTTTTTTATCAATAGTACTAGAGAAAATTTTTTTTCATCTCTTGTTATCATTTATTGTCTAATTGAGTAACCCCAAACTGAGTGGTATGAAATAACCACCGGTTCATTATATCTTGTGATTCTGTGGGTCTAGAATTCAGTTAGAGTTTGCCTGGATCATTCTTTTGCTCCATGTAGTATCAACTGCTGGTGACTTATCTGATCTGGAGAGTTCAAAATAGCTTCACTCGCATGCCTGTTTCCTTGGTAAGGACAGGGCTGAGTTCACCTGGGGTTCTTCTTCTGTCCATGTAGCACAGTGTGTCTCCATGTGTCCTCTCCAACAGAGTAGTCAGAGTTCTTACATTGCAGCTGGGGCTCCACGAATGTTCCAAGAGACAGAAAGTAGAAGTTCCAAGTCCTCTTAAAGGCTAGACATAGAACTGGCAAAGCATCCCTTCTGCCAGATTCTTGGTCAAAGCTGTCACAGAACAAAGATTCAAGGGGCAGGAAATCTTGCTGGGATTAGTATCAAAGAATTGGGGCCATCTTTATTCCATCACATTGAACCTGTGTTATATTTCAGCTATTTCCTTAATCTACTATTTTCTTTATTTCTTCCATTTTCTGTGTTTATATTCTGTTCTGCCCCCACACTCCAACTTCTTAAGTTAGATATTTAAATCATTTTCACCATTTCTTTTTCTAACATAAGCTCTGCAGTATCAACATTTCCTCAAATTATTGCTGTTACTGCTTTTAAAAGTTTTAACTATATTGGTAATTTGCTGCTTATTCAGTTACAAATAGTTTCACTGTTCCATTATCATTTCTCCTGGGACTTATAAGTTATTTAGAAGCATGGTTTTAAAATTCCAATCATGTGGATTATTAACAGTGTACTTTGGGCCCTAAGAGACGTATCCATCAATTGCAATACATGGTTCTTATTTGGATCCTGACTTGGAAAAAACAAACAAAGATATAAGGTAATTAGGGAAATTTGAACACTGACTAGATATCTGAGATATTTTTTAAAAAGATATATGATGGTATTGTAGTTATGTTAAAAAGAAAAGGCCCTTCTTCTATAGAGTTACAGACAAATATCTACACATGAATTTGCTACAAAAAATATGGATGAGAATAGGTATATAGATGGTAAAGAAATGGCTATGATTTGAATAATTGTTGAAGCTAGCTGAAAGGTACATTTGCATTCTGTATACTATTATTTCCGCTTCTGTATGTGTTAGAAATTTTTTGTAAAGAAAAGCTAAATATTTATCTCTTTGATACTGATTTCTGATTTAAATGCATTGTGGTGAGAGAATACACACATACAACATACAACTATAATACTCATATACTTACATACGTATAAATAAAATGAAACTTGCTTCCTTATGCCTTAATATATTTAATTTTGATAAATGTACTATGCATGCTTAAAAATACTATGGAATATTGCTATCTATTAATATATATAATCTATCTCTATATATCCATTAAATCAAGTTTGGCAGTCCAAACTTTCCATGTTTTTAATAGATTTTTTTTTCTGCTTGAACTATTAATAATTGAGAAAGATATGTTTAATTTTCATATTATTATAATGATTTGTTAATTTCTACCTGTCCTTCTATAAATGTTTTATGTTATGTAATTTGAGGTTATCATCTAGGTTCATATTACATATCTAATTGTTGTATTTTATTGGTGATTTGAAATTTTCATCTTTATATAGTTTTACTTCTTTCTCACAATATTTCTTCTGTTAGACTATCTTAATAATATTAATGTAGCTCCTCCAGCTTTCTTTGAGTTATTATTTACCTGCTATACCTTTAAATCATTTTCTTTTTACTTTAGGTGTGTCTCTTGTACAGAGCATAGGGTGGAATTTGGTTAGCTAGCTTTAGAATTTTTGGTTTCTAAATGCAAGGTTGGTCTATACACATAAATACTGTGTTTTTCTGTATTGCTATGATCTTTCTGTTTGTCTGTTTTTTCTATTTCTTTTCCCTTTTTTTTTTTATCTCTCCTTTCTTCCTTCCTTTTCTTTCTTTCCATCAAGTCTTTTTGTTTATTTTCTTATTCCATTTATCCCCCTTTGCTGATTAGAAATTGTATAGTCTACCTGGTCTTCTTTTAGAATTCTTAATATGTTGTTGGGTGCACATTAACTCAACCATGTCTAAATATAATCAAGCGTTTACCACCACCTTTCCCTTTCTGAAAAATACAGGGGTACAGAAGCAATACGATCCCAGTTATCCTTCCTAACTTCTATGCTATTGCTTGTTAAGTTGTATCATTTTACTTAGTTTCCCAAAGTAGATATTTAATTATTATTTTATGAGACAAAGTTTATTTAAATTTAACTTACAGATTTCTGCTCAAATTTCTTCTTGGATCCTCTTCTGTGATCATTTTATTATTTTTTGTGAAGAATACTTTTAAGAAATTTTTGGTGAAAATATATTGTGTCTAACTCTTAGGTTTTGTCTGAAAATACGTGAAATAGCTTTAACTCTCAATCTTAATGACATTTTTATAGGTATAAAATAGTGGATTAACAGTTATTTTCTTGAAATAATTTCTTGAAGAAATTATTCTGCTGTTCCTGGCTCTTGTTGGTTGCTGTTGAGAAGTCTGTTTTTAGACTAATTGTCATTTTTTAAAGAAGTGGTCTATTTTCACTCATTACTTTTAATATTTTCTCTTTAGTTGTGGTGTTCTTCACTTTCCTACAGTATGTGTAGGCATGGATATCTTTCATATATCTCTCCAGAAACTTTCATCAATTTGGAAAAAATTTTCAAATATAATATTTTTGAATATTTCTTCTTATCTCCTCTTTATATTATTCCTTTCTGAGATCTTCCCATTTGAGTCTTCATGTGCATTTATCTTTGTTTCATATGTTGCATCTTCTTTCTCTGTCTGGTTCACTCTGTAATTTCTTCAGAGAAATCTTCTAATTTCCTATTTGTCTTTTAAGCTCTATCTAAGCTGCTAGTTAACTCATCTAGAATTAAGTTTTATTATGTTTATTTTTATTATGTTTGTAATTTTAAAACTCTATTTTTAGGACAGTTGCTTGATTTTTTTTCAAAAATTTTACCTTGCTGCTAACTTTTTTGAACTTATTTCTTTAAATATTTTACTTATTTTGTATTTTGTTTACAATTTGAAGTTTGAGGGTCTAAATAAGTTTTTAATTCTCTGCTGGTTTTTACTCACGGTGGACTATCTTCTTGTATGTTAAGTTCAATTTTTATGATGATTTCATAATCAATGGGGCTCTTTGGGGTTGTAATTAAAAATGCTTTCCTCTAGGGAGAATTGAGTTTATTTCACCTGGGTTCCAGGGCTGCTATTAACCTGCATCCATTTAGCTCACCATCATGGCCTCACCCTAATGTTGGAGTTTCAGATGCTGTTCCTCCAACCTTGAGGCAGAAACATGCACCATATTTTATAGAATTTGTCAAGTTTTTCATCCTTTTAAGGGAAATCTATCCTATTTTCCAACGCAGATATACATTTTTACCTTTAAAACTTTTTCTTCATCATTTCAATAGTTTTAGGAATACGGAGTTATTGAATACATGTTCTTCAAATTGGAAGTCCATAAATTGTGTTTTAAAAAAGAAGACTAAAGGGTGAAGCTCTATTGAAAAAAATATTAAATGAATTTAATATTTATGGACATATGGGGAGGGGAAACAGTTAATGTTATGTTTATCCAAAAAATAAAAGTTATTATTTTTCTCAGACAAGAGAAAATGATATGATGAACCTATTAGAGAAGAATGGCAGGTATAGATAGAGTTAGGAAGGGACCAAGATTATGGAAACCAGGTTAGATGCTCTTTTTCAATTAACCAGATAGGATGGTAAAGGGACTGAATTAGGATGATGACTAGGATCTGGAAAGGAATGCTATTTTCCAAGAGACTTAAGTGTTTGTAGCATTTAGGGAGTTGAATGTGAAAGTAGGAATCAACATATCAGTAATAATAATACTAATGATGTCATCACGACTGTTGGGAGTCCAACGATGTAATCCTGAAGAGTTAATATCATTATATAATAAATATGTTATTTTATATTATTTAGATGCATTGAAAATAAGTTGCCAAGCATCACAGCCTGAACAAACTGTCTCTATCATTGCTTACTGTATCCAACATCTCTTGTATATCAATTGACAATCTTTTGGTTTCATGTGTCTTTTATTTATACTGCAGCTCTGCATGGGTCCAGAATGATTTCACTTAGGCAGAACTTGACAGTGTCTTACTTTAAGGCCATGCCATATGCTTCTCACCTTTCAACCGTAGGGCTTCCCTGTTGACATTGAAGCTTGAGTGATCTTGCTTAGTACCCACAAATGTACAGTCTGGAATTTCAGGGAAATTAGCCTAGTAGAGTAAACCTTTGACTAATGGCTAATAGCATAAGTAGATAAATACTTCCCCTTTCTTCTCCACTTCTTAGGGTCCTGTGGTGCAGTTGATGTGGCTTTTCTTAGGATAGTCCTTTGCCATAAACCAATCTAAATTGGCGCTAACTAGTGCAGCAACACATTCTCCAGTCACCTCCCCTTCTCTACCTTGTTTCCTTTAGCAATCGCTTCTCTCTTCCTTAATAAAAATAGTAGTACATAAAGCTTTACATGATGCTCCGCTTTCTGTAGTCCTCAGGCTAAAACACCTGCCCATATCTTAACTTGTGTGGAAGGGGCATGGTTACTTCTGCACCATGGAATCATCCCCGCTTTCAGAAGAGGATTCAACACGGGTGTACGTCTAACACAAAAGCTGACAATTCACCAGCTAAGCTAGTTATTTCACCCAATGTTTGCATGGAGATGGGGATCTGTTCTTTCTTTCGTTAGTCTCAGTTCCACTTATCTCTTATGAACTATGAATGTCTAGCTAAGTGGAATGTGAATCTAAAATAAGAATATATATGTATGCGATTTTGTTTAAGACAACATGTATCCCAAACTCAAACCAGCTGGTTCACCCAGGGCTGAACCGAAGGGTCAGCAGTCTGTTTCAATAATGGATGGAAAGTGGCCTCTGGTGGTTGTGTTAGACTGTTTTGCATTGCTGTAAAGGAATACCAGAGGCTGGATAATTTATAAAGAAAAGAGGTTTATTTGGTGCATGGTTCTGTGGGCTATAGGAGAAGCATACAAGGAGGGTTTCGGGAAGCTTCCAATCAAGGTGGGGGTGGGGATGCAAGCATGTCACATGGGAAGAGAAGGAGCAAGAGAGAGAAGAGGGGGTGCCAGGCTCTTTTAAACAACCAGCTCTTATGTGAACTAATAGTGCAAGAACTCACTTATTACCCAGGGGAGGGCACCAAGCCATTTATAAGGGATCCACCCCCTATGACCCCAATACCTCCCATCTCCGACACTGAGGATCAAATTTTGACATGAGACTCATAGTGGAAAAATATTCAAACTATATCAGTGGCCTTCGTAAGACACTGTTCCAGTGCTATGCTTTCCTAGCTGATTTTCAAGGGTAAATTTGATTACATGAGAATTTAACTTTTAATTTTTATTTTAGAACCAGGATGTAACTTGTATATAGAGTTTTGAGATGTGAGGAGGTCTCTGCCAAAAGAGTGAATATTAGAATGGCTTAAGAAGAAAGCGAGGTGCTACTGAAGTCAGCGTTACCATGGATTCCCTCAGATTTACTTTCCCAGCCTTAGGAAAGGTGAGCAGATCTGCTAATATGGGAAGGAACATAACTTCTTGAGGACATAAAACTTCTTAAGTGGAGAAATTCCTTTTTCTCTCTTCCATTTAGCTCCTCATTTCTATATCCCAGATCTTGTTCAGACTTCATCTTTCAGTCCAAGTGAAGGCATTTGAATGTTAACCATGTTCTAAGCATTGGACTAAGTTCTTGTATAGTTTGACTCATTAAAAATTCATAACATGATCAAGAAGTATTATTATCCCCAATTTGCAGATGAGGAAACTGAGGCTTTGAAGTCCAGGTGATTTGCTCGGTTAATAAGTGAAGGAGCTAGGAGTGGAACACAGGTAAGTCTAGTTATATAAAGCCTGTGCTCTTTCCAGCACCTTCTGGTCTTATCAAAGTTTCTTGGGGTTGACTTGGAGTGCCCTTTGCAGGACTAGGGGAGATCATTTCTTTCCCCTCTTATATAAGAAGTTTTTCCTGAGAGTCCTTCAATGATAAGGGCGCCATCCTTTCCCCACAGCACACCCAAAAGTGGAATTAGATGGTGGAACCAGAAAGGGAGCAGTAGGCTGTTCCCTGCATTGGTGGCTCAGCTGCACTTTCCCTGATATCTATTTGGACTTCAAAATTTTTGCCTTATAATTTTGGTGGCATTTAGGCAAAGCCTACATATGAAAGTGAATGGTTTAGTTTTCCTGATGGAAAGTTTAATTTAGCTCGCCAGTATGTTGCTTGTAGCTTGTTTGTAGATATAATTGTTTACTTAATGAGGATGCAGTCTTCCTTTCAGAGTACTGCCTTTAAAATGTATTTCCATAGATTTGCATAAACTCCCTGGGGATCACTATAATATGAGAAAAGAAAGAATTGCCCAGCTGTGCACTGATTTAATGGAATTATGAAGCTTTAGGGTGTGGGCTATGAAAAAGATATCTGGGGGAAATAGTCATGCAAACTGTTGGAGAAATAATCCCTTTAATGAATTTTCTCTCACTCCAATAGAATATTTTAGAAGCCAGCATCAGCTCAAGATTTTAAAGAACTCATTTTTGGAAAAGCTTGTAAAGATGCTATTCATTTCAGTAATTATTGCTTATATTTGAGAATGGATAGAGGCTCTTATTTTAAAAGAGTTTTGTTTAAAATGGAGAGAATTAACAAATGCTCTATATCTCATGCTGTCAGAACTTGAAACCAACAGCATCCTCAGACAAACATTTATAGGGGTCTCCAACCTCACTGGGGCCAGAGTTTATTAATGCTACTTTATGTCCTCAACACCTCAGTCCCTGTTGGTGATGTGTAAAGATCTAAGATGATATCAGCTTACCAGGCTTAGGAAATTTACAGCCTATTTAACTTACTTTGAATCTGTCTTTAGATGGTGGTGTCCCAAACAATTACATGATTTTTATAGTCTGTGGCTGGTTCTATAGGTTGATCAGAATAACCTAATAGAAAGGGGAAGATATTATGATTCTCTTGGCCTTGAAACTTAGCAGTGTGATTTATGTCATTTTCAAGATAATACCTGAGCCTTAGCCAGCTGTCTATAAATGCCTATCTTTGGTTTAAGGAGGCTTATTCAAGAATAGGAATTGATCGATACTAATTTATATTCTGTGTTGGAAAAACAACACTGAGAGTGAGCCAATAAGTTCATCTTTGTGTATGAATACATAAATCAGTCAATAAGTATTTAGTAAAGTATAGAAAATACTCTATAGGAGATGCAGAAAAGGAAGAGATATTTTTACATGGCATTAAGGAGTGTTTAGCATTTATACCAAAGAAATAACAACAGTAATAGCTAACACATTTTGTATACATATTATGTGCCAGGATTTTTCTTTCATCGTCTCACATAAACTCCACAACAACCTCATTACTTAGGTACTCTGATTATCCTATTTTACAGATGAGAAAACAAAGCCACAGAAAGGCTACATTACTTGCCTTACAGCTAGTGTGTGTGGTAGTTGAGATCCAACCTTGACACTCTGACTCCATAGCTTATGTTCTCTTTAAAATTTAATTCTTATATTTTTTATTGTATAAAATATGCATATCATAAAATTTACCATATTAACTATTTTCAGTGTAAAGTTCAATGGCATTAAGTACATTCACATTATTATGCAGCCATCACTACCATCTAACTCCAGAATGTTGTTTGTTCATCTTTCCAAATTGAAACTCTATTATACAATAACTCCCATTTCCATCTTCCCTCCAGCCCCTGACAACCATCATTTCTACTTTCTGTCTGTATGAATTCTACTACTTGAAGTAATTCATATACGTGGAAGTATACAGCATTTGTCCTTTTGTGTTTGTCTTATTTCACTTAGCGTAATATCTCCAAGATTCATTCATTTTATAGCATTTATCAGAATTCATTCGTTTATAAGCCTGAATAACATTGTGCATTAGTACAACCTCTATAGAAAACACTATGGAGATTTCTCAAAGAACTAAAAGTACACCTACCATTTGATCCAGCAATCCTACTACTGGATATTTACTCAAAGAAAAAGAAGTCATTTTATGAAAAAGGCACCTGTACCCAAATGTTTATTGCAGCACAATTCACAATTGTAAAGATGTGGAATCAACCTAAGTGTGCATCAATTCATGACTGGATTAACAAAATGTGAGATATGTACATATATGTGTGTGTGTGTGTGTGTATACACACACATACATACATACATATACACAGACCATGGAGTGTACTATTCAGACATAAAAAGAAACGAATTAATGCCTTTTGCAGCAATTTGGATGCTGCAAACTGGATACCATTATCCTAAGCAAATTATCTCAAGAATGGAAAAACAAACCACATGTACTCTCTAATAATTTGGAGCTAATTGATGGGCACATATGGGCACAGAGAGAAGTAAAAGTCATTGGAAACCAAGAATGGGGGAGAGAAAGAAGGGGAGGAGTAAAAACCTACCTGCAGGTAAAATGAATACTAATTCAGATGATAGGCACATTAATAAGCCCTAACTCAAGCATTGCAAAAGCTATCTATGTAACCTGAACATTTGCACCCCCTTAATATTTGGAATAAAAATAAAAGGCTGAATAACATTGTATGTATATACTACATTTTGCTCATTTATTCATCCATTGATGGGCCCTTGGGTTGCTTTCATTTTTGAGGTATCATGAATATTGCTGTTATGAACATGGATATCTGAACATCAGTTTGAGTCTCTACTTTCAATTTTCTTGGTTGTGTCTTAGTCTGTTTTCTGTTGCTATAAAAGAATCCCATAGACTAGGTAATGTATAAAGAAAAGAAATTTATTTCTTATGGTTTTAGAGCCTGAGGAGTTCAAAGGCATGGCATCAGCATCTGCTTAGCTTTTGTTGAGGACCCTCTTGCAGGGTTACAATATGGCAAAGGTGGAAGGATGAGAAGGGAAGCAAGAGAAAACTGAGAAGCTGAGGAAGCTGAGCTTGTTTGTGTAGCAACCAACTATTGTTATAACTAATCCATTCCCTCAAGAACTAATCCAGTCTCTTGAGAAAGACATTAATCTATCTTAATGACTGAACCACCTTTTAATGGCCTCATCTCCCAACACTGTTACATTGGTAATTAAATTTTAATGTGAGTTTTGGCAGGGATAAACCACATCCACGCCATAGCAGGGTATATCCAGAAGTGGAATTGCTGTATTCTATGGTAATTCTATGTTTAATTTTCTTAAGGAACTGCCATACTGTTTTCCACAGTAGCTGTACTATTTTACAATCCTACTATTAATAGTAATGTACAAGCATTCCAACTAATTTCTCCACAGCCTGGCCAATACTTTTTTTTTTTTTAATAATTGTCGCCCTAATTGTATCTCAGTGTGGTTTTTATTTGCATTTTATTAATGATTAGTGATGCCGAGCATCTTTACATGGGCTTACTGTCCATTTGTAAATTTTTGGAGAAACATCTGATTAAGTCCTTTTACAGGGTTGCTTTGTTGTTGAGTTTTAGAAATTCTTTATATATTCTGGGTATTTCCTTATCAGATACATCTGTAGTTCCTAAGTCCTGGGCCATGGACCGGTACTGGTCCTGTGGCTTGTTAGGAAACAGGCCACACAGCAGGAGGCAAGCAGTAGGTGAGCGAGTGAGTGAAACTTCATCTGTATTTACAGTTGCTCCCCATCACTCACATGGTGCCAAAAAGGTTATGGACCACGGATACATGATTTATAAGTATCTTCTTCCATCCCATGGGCTGCCTTTTCACTGTTGATAGTATCCTTTGATGCACAAAGGTTTTTAATTTTAATAATGTCCAATTTATCTGTTTTGTTTTTTTTTTTGCCTGTTCTCAAACTCTGTGCTCTTAACCACTACATTGTAGCATACCACCAAAATTGTGATATGCAAAATTATTTGATACCAATTGTATCTCCTTATGATATGAGGATGAAGGTCCATATTGTCAGGGAATACAATGAAGGAAGCAATGATATTTATTAGCACATTACAGATGTGCTTAGTGCATGTTACTTGATGAAAGTTTGTTTTTCCACATGAATTGAAGAAAATAATGTTGAGTGAACTGTGTGTCATCTCCCTGCTTTTGCTCATGTATTTCTTGGGCATTTATTAGGGGAAGAAAGACTTGGAGAAGGGGTATGGTCCCCAGTGGTGAATTGAGATAGAGTTGTCAATCTCTTAGCTGCAGATACATTGCCAGGATGTTTTCTGGTAGAAGTTTTATTATGTTAAAGCAAATTTAAAGAGGTAAAATCAAATCTCTCTGCAGTCTCATTCACTCCCTGCTGCTGGAATCTCACTTTCCCTCGGAGTTTAATCAAGACAGAAGTAAAAGAGAAAAATCATCCTTTTTCTTGCCTTTTCCTCTGCCTATGGCAGCACTCAACTTTGTCCTCCTGGGTATTATTGGGGCAGAGGGATGGGCAGGGAACGGAGCCCACATTGTGTTCTTTCATCTGAAAGTGTCGTGTGACTCACGTTTCAGAGTTCTTTGCTTCTAATTATGTCCCCCTACTTTTTGTTTTCTCTCTGCCTTATCACTTAGCCCCTCCGGTTCTCCATTTTCAAATTTGAATTTGGAATATGTGGAAAGTAAACTTTATTTTTCTTTTTTCTCCCTGTGTTATTGTGAATTATTAATTCCATGCCTCAGACTCATAGATTGGGCACAGATGCTGTAACAATAACAACTGGCAAAGCAAGTAACATAGAACACCCTCCTTCCCATCCAAGTACAGAAATAAGCCTCAAATACTTACATTGCAGGCATGTGCTTGTGCTAGGCTCCTAACATTCTCTCTGTTTAAGGTCGTCATAAAA